TATATATATAATTATATTACTATTATATATATATATATAAACTTGAATAACTTTTGATCCACTGGACCGATTTGGATAATTTAACCACCAAAATGATCCTTATGATTACAGCTTTCTAATGGATCCAAAATCATCCAATTATGATCACAGGATCCCGAGATCTGAAGTATTTACTATATAGTAAATATAATACAAAATACTTCTGATCTTGAGATTCTGTAATCAGAATTAGATGATTTTGGATCCATTAGAAAGCTGTCATCCTAAGGATTATTTTGGTAGTTAAATCATCCAAATTGGTCTAGTGGATCAAAAGTTATATTATTATATATATAATAGTAATATAATTATACTATATATTATATATATATTATATATAATACATAAGTGTAACATAAGAATTTGCCTAACCCCCACCCCCACTAGGATATTACGTAATATCTGTCACTCCCCTAATCAGATTTAGTAAATTCATATAATTTCTGCTTGTCATTACTATTGCTATAATTTTGGTTATTAGACTCTATTGTAATATAATCTTCAACTATATCATTAGAATTAGTAATATTTTCAGAACTATTAGCAATATCTAAGCTAACAACTTGTATATCAGTTTGTTCTGCTGTAATAACTAGTATTAGATCTAGGGTTTGAGACACAAAGGCATGGGCATATCTTTTGGGCATGTCTTGGGAACATGCTATTTGGCTATTAGGCATGCTCTAGTCATGTGATATATAGTCATATCTGATTGGCTAGCATGTCAGAAGTAGTTGATAGAATAGAAGTAAGTTCCAAACGAAATTATTTACTGTATAGTTTTAATGAAACTCAAACTTAAATATTTACTAGAATAGTAAGCAAATTCTGTAACAGAGCTTTGCTTACAGTTACTTGCAATAGAAATCATGATAATTTAATTCAAACTAACTTATAACCAGAATAGAAATAAGTTTTATAATTGAATTTTTTTTCAGTGGCTTATGAGCAAACTAGATGCAAACTAACTCAACTATATTGTAGTATCAGAATGATAGCAAGTATATTCTGTATTTATAATAACTCATGATAGAAATTGCAACAATCCTAATCACATATTATAGTCACTAGAATAGCAAGTTTTGTAACAAAAATTTTTAAGTAACTCATAATAGAAATCAATAACAATTTCAATACAAACTCATTTTAATCACATATTATGATCACCAGAATACAAGTTTTGTAAATCAATATGTAGTAATTACTGGAATAGCAAGAATTTTTTTATAGTAACTCATAATAGAAATTATAATAATTTTAATAAATATTTATTAACTACACATTATGTATTACTGGAAGAATTTTTTACAATAAATTACTATAATTTCAGTAACAAAATTTTTTTACATTGAACCATGATAAAAACTATGATAACTCTAATATAAACATTTTAATAAAACCAATAACAGAATTTTTTACAGTAAACTATAATAGAAATTATGCTAATTATAATACAAACTAAATAAAATAGGTAATACAAAGTACTAGTTTTTTATATAAAAGGGCATGCCTATAGGAATGAGAGGCATATTACGACTTAGAGTATGCCCTCAAAGGCATGCCTAATTTTTTACCTACATCTTGAACTCTAATCAGATTATATATATTGTGAAAGGAAGTTGTGCATATATATAAGGCCATGCAAAATTAATTAAATGGTTTTCATAACCCGGCCGGGTCAAAATTTGAAAATTTCAAAAAAA